ATGTGATCTTAGGACTGGTCGCTGGTGCAGTTTAAACTTCTTGCATATGAGATGTTTGAATTTATAAATTAAGTATTTATGAACATGCTTGGCTTTTAGACATCTCACTGAGCTGAGTGTTCTTCAGCCCTTCAAAAAGTATGTAGTAACTTCTGAAGTTGAAAATTATTAACTTCTTTCTCCCTAAATTCCCCCCCCAGCTGACTGGAATTGCAATTGGAGCTGCAGTTGCACTGTTGCTTATAGCAGTTATTGTGTTTGTCGTGTACAGAAGAGTGAGACAATCTAGTAAGTATTTGGTAACCATGTAAGTTTTCAAACCAATTTTTCCATCGATCCCGAGTCTTTCTGTAGTTTTCTCGGGTAGTTGTTGCTGTAGAGGTGTGCTTCTTGCAGGACAGCAGCTTTGAAGGATGGAGACCTCGTGGTGGCTCCCTTCCCCAGGTGTGAGCCCAGAGCTGCCCCATGCAGGACCTGGAGCTTTTATTTCCTTGGCTGTGAGCAGTGTCAGCCTCAGATCAGTGGTGAATTATGCAGAGGAGTTCAACCCTACTGTGATTTCAGTGTCACAGGAAGGAGAAATGATTGAATTAGAGGTTTCCTTCAGGAGATTAAAGCTGCCCAACCCTCCTGTCTGTTTAGAGCCCTTGATCTCCTCTGGGCTGAGGTGGAGCCTCAAGGCAGCCCTGCCTGGGTCTGGCTTGGCCAGAGCTGGGGAATGAGGGGTCCCAGGGTGGCTCAGATCCCAAACGCTGCCCAGGAGCTGCTCTGGAGGCAGCAAAGCCCCCCAGCTGTGCTCAGGTGCTCTCCCAGCTGCTGAAGGTGGTTTCTGATGTGGTGCTTCTGTTCCAGAACAACTCCAGCCACACGTGCCTCAGTACAGGTTTCGCAAGAGGGACAAAGTGATGTTCTACGGGAGGAAGATCATGAGGAAGGTGAGGGCACCTGGAAAGGGGGAGGGAAGATGAAAATCCAGCTTGGGAGGTGTAAAGTTTGCTGTAGTTCACTGGCTGAGCTTGGCCCAGGGCCTGTAAATCTCACTGGGATGTTGTGGATGTTTCACAACTCCTGCAACACTGGTTGGATTGCTGAGGGAGCAGCAGCAGCTTCTCTTTCTGGCCAGACCTTTCCTCTTTGAAAAATATTTGCAGTCAATGAGGGTAGCAATAAATCAATGAGTATCTAACTCCTGTAGGGAGTTAATGATTGTTTAAATATCCCTGAATCCCAGACTGGTTTGGGTTGGAAAGAACCTTAAAGCTCATCCCATTCCACCCCTGTCAGGGACATGGACACCTTCCACTGTCCCAGGCTGCTCCCAGCCCTGTCCAGCCTGGCCTGGGACACTTCCAGGGATCCAGGGGCAGCCACAGCTGCTCTGGGCACCTGTGCCAGGGCCTCACCAACCTCACAGGATCCTGACTGTTCTCTGTGCTGCCAAGTCTGGGTGTGCACTCACTGCAAACCATCTGTAGAAAAATAAGGTACAGGGAAGTAACCATCCTTAGTCACCCTGTGTGGAGGAACACTTCCTCCTGTGAACTGTGAACTGCCCCAGCCTCTGCCTTCCACACTTCACTGGTGGGTTTAATTCAGTTCTGGAGCTGTGTCATTGTGAAGGAGGTGGTTCCTCCCTGAATCTTGCATAGCAGGTCAGCCTTTAAGAAGAACTTGGCCAAAAAAGCCCTCAATTAGAGGAAATTTTGTGTGTGCAATGTTATAATTTTAATATTCTTTATTATTTTAATATGCAGTTTCTTAATTTGAATAATTTTTAGCCAAGCTGTTTATATGTAATTCACATAAGTAAAGAATGCTTTGAATTACACATAGAAAAATAATTTCAGGTAGTTTTTTGTTTGAGTTTTAGACCTTACTTTTTGATTTTCTTCCTGAGTAAGGCAGAGAACATTACACCCAAACTGACTGCTGTAGGTTGCACTTCATGGGTTTTTGATAACATAACAAGATTTTACGTAAAAAAAAAAAATCCTTCCAAACTAATTAGAGATTTCTTTTGCAACAGAAACTTTTTACAGAGATTCAACTGCTTGGATGGAAAACTGGGGAATGTTTTGAAAATACCTAATGAGGGGCTTGCTTGGTGTAGCAGTTGTGATTTTTCTCCAGAGGGTGGCACTTGAGAACTAGGAAATGCAAGGAAAAGCCTTGGTTTGTCACCATCACATCCAGATAGAATCCTGGAATATCCTCAGGATATCCAACAGGATCACCCAGCCCAGCCCCTGGCCCTGCCCAGACCCCCCAAAATCCCACCCTGGGCATCCCTGTCAGCGCTGGCCAAAGGCTCCTGGAGCTCTGGCAGCCTCGGGGCCGTGCCCATTCCCTGGGCAGCCTGGGCAGTGCCAGCACCTCTGGGGGAAGAACCTTTCCTGCTCTCCAGCCTGAGCTGCCCTGGCCCAGCTCCAGCTGTGCCCTGGCTCCTGTCCCTGTCCCAGAGCAGAGGTCAGTGCCTTACTCCTCTTCCTGATGCTGAGTGTTCCTGAATGAGAACCAGAGCTAAGAGTCCTTCCCCTCTACCATCCATTAGCACTGTAGTAGTTGACTGGTAAAATCAAAATATACTCTACTTGCTTTAGTAGATATCTGCTTGATCCTGGAGTAGATATTCCAATCTTCCAAAGTCTTATATGAGCTCCTCACTCTGCTCACACTCAGATGGCTGGTAAATGTGTTGGTGCCTCAGCTGGGTAGGTTTTTTTGGTTTTGGGTTTTTGTGACTGTTTTTGTGTCCATGCTTTCCCCTAGGTGACAACTCTTCCCAACTCTCTGGTTGGGAACACTGTCCCTCGCCAAAGGATGCGGAAACGGGCAAAGGTTTTATCTCTGGCTAAAAGGTACTTGGGACTTTGGGAAGGGGAAAATTCACATCATGGGGGCTGGTGTGGGGTTTTTGTTTGTGATGGAGAACTTGTCCCTAGCAGAGCCCTTTTCTGTAGCTGCTGGTTTTTCCCAGTCCTGTCAGCTCTGGATCAGCTGGGAGGTTTGCTGAACTGGGATGGTTTTGGTGAGGAAAGGCAGGAGGGTAGAATGTTTTAGCTAGCTGGCAATGTGTAACTCAGAATGGTGAATTTTAATATTTACTATATACTTACTTAACATTTCTTATTAGTACAGATTTAATAATTTGTATTAGGACAAATGAGAAAACATCCTGAACTTCTTTTTTTCTTTGTAGGATTTTGCGTATTAAGAAGGAATGTCCAACTCTGCAGAGGAAAGAACCTCCTCCTTCTTTGCTAGAGGCAGATCTGACTGAATTTGATGTTAAGAATTCCCACTTGCCATCAGAAGTCCTGTACATGCTTAAAAATGTCAGGTAATGTTAAATGGAAAGAGAAATTTAGAGTTTGGTTCTGATGGATGTTCAAGTGATGTAAATATTTGACAGTTTGTGTCAAATCTCAGATTTTACAACTGCATGGTCAGAATCCTGAGGGAGTTGACTGAAATTCATGTGAGCATAAGGGCACAATAAATGACTTTGAATTTTCTAGGAACATTAAAAAATGGTTGAGTTTGTTGAAAAAGTTAAAAAAAGACATGGGGAGAAAAAGGAATTAGTTTAGTTGTCTCAGCTTGGGAATAGTGCTAATAAAGGTGTTCTAACAGATTTATTGCATTTTGAAACTTCTGTTTGGGCTGTATCAGACAATTTTTTTTGTGCACAGAAAAGCATCATAATTGGTAAATGTTAATTGGATACCATATTGACAGCTCCCTGGGCTGCAGGATCTTTTACTTCTCTACCTGAAAAGGTTGCAAATAAATCAAAGTCAGCTTAATCCCCACAGCTCTTTGGTTAACTAAGGAGGGATGGTCTTTGTGGCCCTTCAGCAAGGGGTTAAATTGCTGACAGAGCAAAGAGGAGGAGATCTTCCAATCTGTAATTTCAGTTTTGCTTGTGGATGGTCATTTTTCCTCCCAGTTGTGATATAATGTAGTCCTGAAGGTCATATATTCTCAAATAAAAAGGCTATTTCAGTCATCTGAACTTGCTACTGTGGAGTTATGGTCTTCTATGACTAATTGATGTTGCAGTAGGATTTGATGGATTGATCCTGATAAATATGAGCTGTTGGAGCTCTGTACAGGGTGATCAGGTGTGGAACCCATATTTCTCTCTGCCTGGCAGTGACTGACTGGAATCCACGTGCATGTTACCAGCAGGAGATGGAATATTCCAAACTTGCAATTATGTGCAGATGACAGGAGCTTTTCCCTCTTTTCAGTATTTCTCCTGTGTCCTGCTTCCATGGACAGGGCAGCTGCACTAAAAGAGGAAGTTCCTGGGGTAACTTTTTTCATGGAGTTTATGTTTCTGGCAGGTTTTTATTTTTATTCCCCTCCACAGGCCATGCTGGTGTTTGCTGGAGGAAGTTTGGCTATAATTCTTTCTGAGCCTGCAGTCCTTGGAGGGCTCCTTTGGAGCATTTACAGTTCTGTGTTTCATGCTGCTCTTGCACCTTCTTTTGGGGAGCTCTTTGAGGCTCCTTCCCTGCAGCTGCTCCTCTGGGCTTCCTCTGCTCATCACAGCTGAGGCTTTGCTAATTGAGGAAGGATTTTCCAAAGGCTGTGGCGATTTCAGGTTTTCCCTTTGCATTTTCTTTGCTGCAGAGTCCTTGGGCACTTTGAGAAGCCCCTGTTCCTGGAGCTGTGCAAGCACATGTTCTTTGTGCAGCTGCACGAGGGCGAGTACATCTTCCGTCCCGGGCAGCTGGACAACAGCATCTACGTGGTGCAGGATGGAAAGCTGGAAGTTTGCATCCAAGAAAGTGTAAGGACCTGTTCAGACTCAGATGTTTATTAGTTCTTATCTATGTTACAGTCTCACAAGCTGTGAGTTTTGCAGTACTTTTCTCTAACGGTAAAAATGGAGCCTCATCTCTCTCTACAAGGTCTTTTAAGGATAAACTGTCTAATTAAGAAATTATACCTAAATTATTTTTACTTTTAACCCAATAACCAACCACCTGTGCCCTGCAATGTGGACTTTTCTATCCAATTACACAATACCACCACAAACCCTGGAGGAGGTGAAGAAGAAGAAGAAGAAGAAGGACCAGCCTCCACCCTAAAACCTCCATCTTGCTTTATATATATTACTATATTCTAAACCCTTAAACTCTAAGTTTTCCACCACATGATATTACACACTTCTATTCAAACTCCACACCCACAATCCCAGTTCTGTCATTCCATTTTGGAGCCTTCTCCATGGCCTCAGGTTAATGCAGGGTTCTCTTGGGGGTCAGTGCCTGGCAGCACAGAGTCTGAAATTCTCAGTGTC